GGGGCGGGAAGAGGCGAGGTGAGGGTGGGACCTGGGGCGGGAAGAGGCGAGGTGAGGGTGGGACCTGGGGCAGGAAGAGGCAGGGTGGGGGTGGGACCTGGGGCGGGAAGAGGCGGGGGTGGAGGCAGGACCTAGGCCAGGAAAAGGCAGGGTGGGGGCGGGAAGAGGCGGGGTGGGGGTGGGAAGAGGCGAGGTGGGGGCGGGACCTGGGGCGGGAAGAGGTAGGGTGGGGGCAGGAAGAGGCGAGGTGGGGACGGGACCTGCGACGGGAAGAGGCGGGATGGGGGCAGGACCTAGGCCAGGAAAAGGCAGGGTGGGGGCGGGAAGAGGCGAGGTGGGGACGGGACCTGCGACGGGAAGAGGCGGGATGGGGGCAGGACCTAGGCCAGGAAAAGGCAGGGTGGGGGCGGGAAGAGGCGAGGTGGGGGCAGGACCTGCGGTGGGAAGAGGCGGGGTGGGGGTTGAGGGAAGGGGGTGGGTAGGGCGGGGCGGGGATTTGAGCACTGCCAGGGCCTGGAGGAAGCTGGCACCGGTGTTAGGCGGAGGCTCAGGCCGTGCTAGCAGAGATGGTAAGTCTGCACATTGAACGGACCCGGGGCCAGGGCTGGCAACGCTCCCAAAGCCAGACAGCTCCCATCGCTCGCTCCTGTCTGTAGAAGCCCCAGGAAGCCAGTTGCCTGGCTGAGGGTAACTCCACGGCAGCACTGGCTACGTGCAGGCAGTGCTGGGCAGAGAGCAGGGCTGGCAAGCGCTCACCTGACCGATGCAGATTTCCCGCTCGTGCTGGAGCTGCTGGATGCAGCAGGTCTGCTCCGCCATGGCCTCTTCCCGCTCCCTGCAGATCTCTTGCAGGCTTCTTACGTCATCTTGCAGCTGGTGGAGCTTTCCCTTCAGGCCGCTCCCCTCTGCGGCTCTCTCCTTCCCCTGGGCAGCACGGCAAACACACGTCACTGAACCCGACCGTCAGGGCAGAGGCAGTGGGACGGCGTCATGTGTTAGCCTCAGCGCACACAAGCGACAACATGGCGACAATGCACTGGCTCGGCTGATGGCACTTGGGGCCCCAGCCCCTCCCTGCTCTGCTGGGCTCCCTCACACCAGCGGGTCTCGCTTCGCACCAGTGGTCAGTGGCTGCACAACTCCGCCCTTTATATCCTTCGCCCCGGGCTCCCAACTGCACACGAGTCACATAAATCGGGGCTGCAGAGCAATTGTCCTGCGTAAAAGGCCACGGCGTGTGTTGGAGCACGGCCCGAAGGGGCTGCTCGCCCAGTCTCCACGCCCAGCTGCCACCCCGAGGCAGCGAGAAATGGGAACGGACTAGCGGATTCGTCCTGGGGGGACCTGCTAGTGCTGTGTTCAGTGAGGGGCCACGCACTGCGGCCCTCGCCGGGCAGCGCTCCACACATAGCCCCCTCGGGCAGCTCGCGGGGCTCAGGGATATTAGACTGGCTGCACGAACTGCAGAGCAAAGGCTGTCACACAGGGCACGCGCCAGCACTTGGAACTGTAGCCAACCATGACGATTCCCCGCTGGGCCCACCGTGCCCCACTGCAGAGGGGCTGCAGGGCAGATGGGTCCCCAGGCCATGGACAGACTATACAGCCAGCCAGCGCTTCTGCAGTGCTGCACCCTGCAAGGAGCTCCTCGCCCCAGGAGACGCTGAGATCTGAAAGCTCACCTCATCCTTCGCTCGCGCCAGCTCCTCCTCAGCACTTTTCAGGTCTCCTCTGAGCTTCCCGATGGTCTGCTCACGGCTGCACACCTGCAAAGCCCATGGCTGGTAACGCAGCCTTCCCGCAATGGGAACTCTGGAGATAATGCTTAGAACTTAGAACCCCACTTCCGAAAACATTCCACCGTGAGCACGGCCTGCCCCGCTCCCGCAGCCTGGGGGGCCGTGTGAGGAGGAAGGCAGCCGGCGGGGGCAGGGCTAGCAGGGAGACAGACAACAAAACCGAAGCAGCAATTAGCCCAAAGCATCAGAGCTCCAAGAGCCGGGAGGTGGCCGAGGCGCTGCCCTTCGGAAAGGGACGCTCAGGCAAGGTGAATCTAGGAAACCGCAGGCCGGGGGACAGCAGGAGAAACCCCCGCCCAGCAGCCTGCCGAGGATGGTCTGGAGGAAGAGAAAACCTTGTTGTCCTCTTCCCAGTGCTGTCTGCCTACCTCCTGCTGCGCGGTCTTCTGCCTCTCCCTCAGGACGGCCAGCTCCCTGGCCTGCTGCTGTTGGTCTGAGCGCAGCTCTGCGAGCTGCCCTGTGCACCTGGAGAGCTCCTCTCGGGCTGCCACGAGATCCGCTTTCTGCTGCTCCACCACCTGGTCACGCTGCAGCAGCTGGGCAGAGGAAAGGAACAGCTGGAGCCAAAGCCAGCTTCCCAGACACTGCAGCCCAGCTCAGCTCCCCAGGCGAAAGGAGCCCGGGAGCGCTGGGGAGATGGGGCAGACAGCCCCGCAGTGCTGCTTTGGAGCGTCACACCTGGAGGCATTGCTAATGCTGCTGCTTTACCTGGCCAAGGCGAGGCCCTGCTGGCAATGAATGGGAAACGCAGGTGGCCCGCACGGGAAAGGAGCAAAGACTCCTGGGACTGCCTGAGACAGGCTGCTGGCAGGGAGACGGCTCCCGGGTGCTGGACCCTCGGCCTGAGACAATCTCGCCAATACAGCTCTTGCCACATGCACGCTCCTGCCTTAGCCCAGGGCAATGGGAAGGCCCAGGGGCTCTGGATGTGCCCAGGATCCATGTTGGAACAACGGGCCCCTCCGTCAGAGGGCAGGGCACCAGGACACGGGCCTTGGAGGGACAGGAGGAAAGGGGGGCTCTGCGTGGTTCTTGGGTTGCCAGTTGTCCTTGAGCCAGGGCAGAGGGAGCAAGCTGTGGGGACTAAGCGAATGGTCACCCCGGTGCCGATTGCAACCCACCCCCGGTCCTGCAGCAATGCCACCTGGTCGCGCCCCTCTGTCCTCCAGGCCGAGTGGGAAGGACAGGCAGGATCGGGGTCGGGTGTGGCACCAGTTCCAGGAACGCTTCCCACTCGCCCCACCCCAAGGAAGCCGCATGAGCTGGCCATGTGCATAGGCACAGACAATGTGAATGGAGGCTCAGGGGTCTGCTTCTTTCCCTGAGCCTAAGCTGGGGCCTACCTGGGTCTCTGACTCCTTCTGGACGTCCTCTTTCCCTTGCCTAGCACCCTGCAGTGCTTCCTGCGAATCTCGGAGCTGCTCTTGCAGGCGCTGGAGCTCCTCGTCTTTCCTCTGCAGCTCCTTCTTCAGGGAGCATGACTCCAGCTGCGACGTGCTCAGCAGCGCCTCCAGCTGGGCCGCCTGGGAAACAATGCAAGAGGCTGTCTCAGCGTGTTGCTGGCGGCCACTGCTGTCCTTTGGGCCTGTCCTGGAGCAGGAAGCAGAACTTGCAGTGTGAGCCAGACCAGGCCTGGGCAGAACAGTGACACACCAGGCACTGGCTACCCAAGGGAGCATATTCCTGACCGGCGAGGATGGTGCAGATCTCTCACGTAGCTGTGTAAACGCATTCTCAAGGGATAGGACAAGAACACCCGACCCTTCAAAGGACCAGCAGGGGCTGACAGACTAATGGCGACAGGTACAAGGAGCAGGGTGGTCACTAACCACGTCAAGAGTGTGACATAACTTGTCTGGATCAGGGTATGAAAGGAGATGTCCTAGGAGGGTCTCTTTGTACTTGCCAAGGGGATGGCAGCCTGGTGCGCTGACTGAGCTGGTACCATTGTTGTGTGCACCAGGTGTTAGTGCACCTCTAACCACAACGAACCTGGCCAAGCGCCTTCGCCACCGAACCCAGCCAGGTCTGCAGAATGAACGCACTGCACTGGCTGCTAATGCCGCTGGCACCCGGGCTCCAGGCACAGCAACGCTGCAGCATCAGCAATGCTTCGCAGTACTGACCACGTCTGCCAGCACGGCCTGCATCATCGCCCTCCACCCGCCCCAGCCCTGGGGCCTGCGTGCTGCCGAGCCTGAGGGATGCTAAGGACACAAAATGAAAATGGGAGCCATACGGCCACAGTGCCTGCTCCAGAAGCCTCTGCCCAGCGATCTGGGACACTGCCCACAGCCTGGCAACACGGTGCCAGGCAAGACTCTGCCATGCCCTTTGTGTGTGAAATTAGAAGGTTCCCTGAAACTTCAGCCAGAGAGACCCCCCCACGACAATCCTGCCAGCGCTAGCAGCAAGCGGGAGGGGTGGAGAGCGGAAGGCGGAAGAGACAGCAGATGTAGGTTCTCACTCAGTGACGGTGCAAAGGGAAGAGGTGCTAAGTAGTGGGCAGGCAGGCTCCAGGCGGGGTACCTCTCTCTGCGCCATCTTCAGCTCCTGGTGCAGTGACTGCCCTTTCCTCTGCAAACCCTGCAGCTGCTCTTCTTTGTGCTGGGCTCTGGATTCGGCTGCCTCCTGTGAGACCTGGGTCGCTGCCAGGCTATCCTTCAGCTGCCCGATGGTGTCCTCCCAGCGCCGGGCCTGTCCCACAAACCACACGCATGTCAGCAGAAGCCCTCCCCCCCCTCGCCTGCCCTCCTGCTGAGCTGGCAGCCCAGGCGGGAGGAGGTGCACCCACGATAACAGCATGAGGTGGAGCCTGGGTTCCCTCAGCCGCCCCCCTCCCCCCCAGGACTGGGCAGTTCTCCCGCGGGTCACGCTGGAGGTGGGGGCTGGCAGGGGAGGGGCACCTAACACAGCACCCACTGGTACCAGCCTCGTTACCCAACAGCCTTCTGCACCTGCTGCAAGCAGAAGCCTGCGCCTGGCAAAGCACGCAGGTGAACTGAGCATCAGCCTCCATGTGACCAGCGAGTGGCTGAACGGGGTCAGGACTGAGCCCTGAGCAGTGCGGCTCTCTCACTCCGGGCCATGGTGCAGAAGAACTAGGAGCCCAGAGCTGGGGGCAAGAGGAGAGAGGCTGGAGTCGCACAGCCCAGGCTGCTTGCTGGCCGGGGGTGCAATGGTGCAACCCACTTATCGGCAGGCACAGTATATGTCGCTTACGTTGCAATACCCACAGTGCCCATGGGGAAAGGGAGGCTGCGAAAGGCTGGGCACTCCAAGGCAGGGACAGGGCTTAACATCAGCCAGGAAATGGCCCAGGAGAGCCCCAGCCCTGGTAACCTGCTCGGGCTGTGGACTGCAGGCTGCATCGGAAGGTGTCCTACAGGAGCCTGAGTGCCTCCGGCTGGAGTGTATAGACAGGACCTCAGTGGCGAGTGGGGCGGGGGGAGAGCCAGAGAAGTTCCTGAAGTTAAGGGAGGAGCTCACCCCAAGCCTGCGCCGCGGAGAGGTGGGGACGCCCGCTCCCGAGGGCCTTGGAGAGAGACAAGGGTGAAGCAGAGGTGATGGGGGAGACAGGAAGGGAGTGCGGAGCACTGCCTGCCCTTGCAATCCCAGCCCACGTCCCCCCGAGGGGACGGGGGAGACAGGAGGGGAGCGCGGAGCACTGCCTGCCCTTGCAATCCCAGCCCACGTCCCCCCGAGGGGATGGGGGAGACAGGAGGGGAGCGCGGAGCACTGCCTGCCCTTGCAATCCCAGCCCACGTCCCCCAGAGGGGAGGGAGGGACAAGTACCTTCTGCTCGGCTGCTTGCACCTCAGCCTTGGCCTTCAGCAGCTCTCTCGTTAACATCTCCACCTGCTCCTCTCTGTGGCGTGACTGTGGAGAGCCCAGAGGGGAATCCAGACATCAGAGCTGGGAAGTGCTGATAGGTCCCATCTAGTCTGTCCCCCAGGGCAGTGCTGGATTGTTTCCTGTGGCATATTTTTCTGGTGCTTTGCCCAGTCCAGTTTCATCTGGCTGAAGCACGGGGGCTTTCTCCCCTCCCCAGCTGGCCCATGGCAGACAGGCCCCTGCCCCAAGGAGCAACCCATCTAAGTGATGGGCCTGACAAAGGGGGGGATAAAGTGCCCCCAGGATGGCTGGGGTGAGGGCAACCATGCACAGATGCCTTGAGCGAAGCCAGGCGGCACAAGAGGGCTTTCAGAGAGGGCACGGGGGAGCACATTGGCAGGGCGCTGCCTGGTGAGACTTGCGCAGTAGCTCTTCCCATCAGTGGCCAGGGCGGGGACCCATAGCTCAGCAGTTCTACACACTCTAGTCTTTGTGGGTCTTTCCTGCTGGCTTGTTAATTCCTTCAAGGCTTTGCCTGCGATCTGCGCCCTCGGCTCCACAGCACGACAGTCTCTTGTCTGAGAGCCAATGAAGCTGTGAACACAAACCTGGCCTCGTCCACCAGCCTTCCTGCTCCAGCCTCTCCCCAGCCAGGAGCTCCCCCCCGGCTGCCTGGTGCTCAGTGCTGACAGGAGTAACGGCTCCTCAGACCCTGTCTCCATCGCTGCGGGAGTGGGACCTGGAAGACGTTGCCCTGGCAGCAGCCCGCCTGCCGACATGAGAGGCTGCACTGGCCTGTTGCTCCCCGGGGGCAATGTGCCTTGAAGCCTGCTGGCAGTCCGGTGGCAGGAAGGGCGCACACAGGGGGTGTCCTTTGCTCTTACCAGGACGCACAAAGGGCATCTCAGGAAAAAGGGACTGGTTCCTGCCAGTGTTTTCCATTAGAAATTCAGCTCTGGCACCTGGGGAGACGCTGTGGCAGTGTCTGCAGCAGGGAAACTTACAAACTGCTGCTGGCGTCACAAGAGCGCCGGACAGAATTCCCCCGGAAACGTTCTCTGAAGGCGACCAGGGAAGGAGTGGAAGGTGGGAGCCCAGTGCATGGTGGCAGCTGGGAGGGATGGCGGGTCAGGCCGGTGGCTGAAATCAATTTGGTTCTTGTTTTCCTGTTAACACCTTCAATTTGCAGAGGACTGAAAGTGATTCGGGTGAGTTAGGCCTAGAGCAGACTGAGGGATGTTGGAGGATGGCAGGCGCCAGTCAATGCTGCTAAATACAAAACTCTGCGCATTGGAGGGCACAACGTAGTGTCAACGCCTCCCAGATTCTGCCCGATCAGCTGTGCCAGCCCAGGGAGCTGGGCACCATGGCAGATGGCAACCGGATGGCAAAAATTAACGCACGTATCCCTGCTGCAAAGAGCAGGAGTGCTCATCCTTTCTCCCAGTGCCAGCACTGCTCACTTGGTTGGTTACCAGCATGTGCTCATTCTCCAGCACCAGGCCTTGGGCCTCCAGCCTGGCATGCAGAAAGCCAGTCTCCTCCTCCAGGTGGTGACAATGGGCCTGCAGCTGGGCTTGCTTCTCTTCCAGTGCCTGGATGGTCTGGTGCTGCCTGCTCATCTAGGGGACAAGGAGGTGTAAGAGATACTGGCATTAACATGTGTCTTGAAAATACGTTGTTGACAATCTCTCTCTCTCTCTACTCCCATCTAGCTATCCAGTGGCAATCACCCTCATGCATATCCACACCCCAGCTTCCTCTCCAATGACAGTCAACAGGCCCATCCCCACAGGCGAGACATCCTCTTTG